AATTTTTTTACTAAGGATTCTGTATGATGTGGTATGGTATGGGTCCCCAGAGGTCCTTGGGAGGTTGATATGATGAGTTACTGCACTGGGTGACGGCAACCCTAGGGACACCACTGCTCAGAAGTTTTTTTGCCATTTTCATCCTCTGAAATATAGCTTATAGCACCCGGTATTCCTTGGTGGTCTCCCGTCCAAGTTCTAACCTGAGCTGACCCTGCTTAGCTTCCATGATCCGAGGGGATCTGGTGCCTTTAGGTTATTTAAGCTCTTGTAGCATCCCTAGTGCTAGGATGTGTGTTATCAGAGCAGTGTTGTGAATGGATAACATTATTACTTGTCATTGGCAGTACTTCCTGCTGGTTTCACAATTAAGTTGGCTGCAGTCTATGAAAGCCAATGCAATAATAAATTTATTAGGCATTAAGGCTCCATAGGACTCATGTCCTGAATCTTTTTTTGGTATGCCAACAAGAATAAACCCACTGAATCAATGAGATTTACACATGTGCTGACTCACCATTCACCAATTGATTTAATGGGCCTATTTTTGTCCAGACTACCGATAGAATTCAGGCTCTTGTTGGTTTTTTTTAGGCTGCATCTGCACTGTGGAATTAACACAATTTGAGACTGCTTTAACAGTCATGGCTCCATCCTATGGGATTTGTAGTTTGTTATGGCACCAGAGTTCTCTAACAGAGAAGGCTAAATATCTCACTAAATCCCAGAATTTAATAGCACTGAGCCATGGCAGTTAAAGTGGTGTAAGGTTGCATTATTTCAGCAGTGCAGATGCAGCCTCAGGGAAAGTTAGCACCCAGCAAGCCTTTTTAAATGACAGAAACATGATAAACTATTTTATACCAGATCCACCTAGCGTTATGTCTAGTTGGACAGAAGAAGTTGTCCCAAATCTCAAGGAGATTTCTTTTTACAATCCGCATCCACCCCATACCCAGCTGGTAACTCTAACCTCTGGCTTTCCTTCGTTGTTTTGTGCCTTCAAGTCATTTCCAACTTATAGCAACCCTCAGCTGAACCTATCATGGGTTTTTCTTGGCAAGATTTGTTCAGAGGAGCTTTGCCATTGCCTTCCCCTGAGGCTGAGAGAGTATGACGTGCCCAAGGTCACTCAATGGGCTTCATGTCCAAGTTGGGAATTTTACTATTTCCAGACACTCCTATCCTCTTATTCCTTGGGTTGTACTTGCCACTCACAAATCCAGGGCCCATTATAGCACTATGATTCCACTTTAACTATCATGGTTCCATCCTATGCAAACCTGGGGACTGTAGTTTAGTGAGGCATTGGCGGGTTCTGTTCCTCCCTAAAGTGCCAAATCCAGGATTCCCTAGAATGGAACCATGGTAGTTAAAGTAGAATAATAGCAGTAAAATTCTGTAGTGTGAATGGATCTTTAATTACTGTTCTTTCTTCATGCCCCTCTTACTGTTTTTGGCTGGAAACACAACTTTCCTTTCTCTTGATCAAGGCCTAGACTGCTCTAAGTACTTCATTAGTTAGGAGGATGCTCACATACATAGTGAAAAAACTGAGCAAATTAATGGACACAAAAAGAGATTAGATTGTAATAAACTCATCAGGACTAAAACCATTTTTCTATCTGAGAGAATGCAGCAAATGATCTCCCTTCCTCTGTCTAAGGTTAGAGATTATCGCTTGGCTTTTTAAACTAGTTTACCTCTATCCAGTTTCTTTTTTAAATAAATTTTATTATTAAATCATCAAAATACACTCATGTAATCAACCATTCCAAATACAATCAAATCCTTATCCTAATAAAAAAAAACCCTCCATAAACCCAATCCAATATCTATTATCTACTGATTGATAACAATTATTATTCGTCAAAACAATTGAAATAACATCAATAATGTATAACACCTCAAAACTTTTAAATTGCTCTAAATTACTAAAAGTACCT